TATATATATATATATATGTCAAATGACTTATGATTACTTACTTTTTTGTCTGAGATTTTAAAAGAACTCCTCACGAAATTCTCAAACTTCTGCTCGGTCTTCGGTAGTGGTTTTCCCTGATGAAAAAAGCCATTAAATCATCAGCTTAACCATGCGTCAGACATTCAATTAAGAGTGGTAATTTGCAAAAGAGGATGACAGCCTTACCTCCTTGGCTGCCGTTGACAACTTGCTCTTAATCTCAGTCAGAGAGGGAGATTTAGACGGGCCTGCCTGGGGTTTGTCTTTTCCTGGGGCAGGTGTCTAGAAGAAAATATATCAGCTAGATAAGAAACACTGATTGATATGTCAAATAGAAAGAGATTTACAGAGTTGTAGATAAAAAAAGATAACTTCATATTATGCCATAATATTTCTTCTTTTACTCAGGTTCAGCACTTGCTATTGCCTTTTATTTTTCTGTGCTCTCATTTGAACTCAACACAAAATGGCTAATTCTAACGTATTGGTGATGAATGAATCCATTTGCTGACCAACAGGCCAGTCTGGGCTACAGCCCTATCATGACCCATTTTGTCTGGGTCTGTGTTTACAGGCTTGGCATGGGCAACCAGCTGGAAGAAGATAAAAGCATCAGAAAGGACAACAAATTCTAGCCTAATTACACCATCTTTTTTAACAAATACATCAGGTACAAATTATGTTTTTATTGTTTGCAAGCAGGAGAGGGCAAGACCCGACTATCCAATGAGCAATAGACTTTGTTAGTCAAATGTGTTTTTCCCCTGATGGTAAATCCCAATGACTGAAGAAAAGAAAAGGTCAAAGTGCAACTAATGTTCTTGTTTCTCAATAATTTACTGACTAATCAACTTAATGACTTTCACATTTGTTTAATGTTTATGAATGGTCAAGACTAAAAACAATACTGCCACAACAGCCCTTTTTTTGAACTTCTGGGGGGCGCTGTTCGTGTGGCGCACATTGGCCTGTCAAGTCTGTGCTGTTCTTGTGTTTTAAAGGTGTGTAAAAGGCGTGTAGAGAAAGAGGTGAGGACAGTCAAAACATGGAATCTATCGAGCATTGAGGCTCTACAGGCTTTTTTTGACTGAACCACATGGGAGCTGTTCTATTCTGTGTTGATTGTGTAATTCCTTCTAAGATGGTTGCTTTATTTCCCAAATAACAAACCATAGGTGACCAAAAAGCTCAAAGGCATGCTTAATTAAGAAAAGGGTGCTTTGTAGAGTATTGGCTGACGAGAAAAAGCAGGTCAACAAATATATGCCTCCCCAGGTGCTCTACCAACCTGTGCAGAGCATCGTTCATTCTGAAAGCCATCTGACTGGAGAACAAGGAGCTGAAGGACAATACAATACTGTGCTCTATCTTTCTGCCATGTGGACTATTTCCATACTTATCTATTTTTATTTTTACCAATTATCTTTTTTAAAAAATATTTTCTATTATCCCAAAGACCTCTTTTGCTTGCAACTGTCTGTACATGTCTCTTTGCTGTCCCATGCCCCAATTTAAACTGCATTCGTGGAATACTAAAGTTGTTTTGAACTGAAGTTGAATTGAAATGAATCAGTTTTGGTGAACATATGAAGATTCCCCTGTGTTTGTGAATATGAGATGAGAGCAGCCTGAGCACTGAACCCACAGGTGTGTCCAGACCTGGCCATTCGAGGCCCCAGAGGTCCTAAATTAGAAGCATATGAATGTGACACAACAAACACACGCCATACGCTGTGACTGCATGTTACACAAGCCACAGAGCTTGTCCCTACACGCAAAGCCAGTGTGGAATCCAGTAAAATTGCAGGGTTTCATTGATAGCCAGAGACACATTTGAAAGAGGAGGGAAGCCATGTATAAAGCTACATTTTACCCTGTAAGCCAAACAACAGTAAAACAACAGCCAAACTTCACAAGCAAATGGACAGTTGTCCAGTACCTGAATTCATGTTTGGTTGCAAGTGGGCTTTGGTGTAATTGTTTTTAATTTACAACTTTGATTGAGATTTCTTCTTATTGGTCCAATTAATGTTAGACACTAAGCAAAAACTGTGCTGTTTAACCAGCCATTTAAGAGATATATGGCAAACTTATATTATTGTTGAATTATCAGGATAGTTAAATTTACAGTATTATTTGAATTCCTATGCAAAACGATTGACAGGCTCTATGTTCTATGAAAGCCAAAGTATGTTTGTGAAGTGGTTTGATGAACTAAATGAACATTTTAAGAGTCAGAACTCTTGTTTATTATTGTTGTGCTACCATGATATCAGATAGATTTGGTTTGGTCAGAGGAATGGAATATTAAATCATCCCTCTTTGCTCACTACATCTTGCCATCAAGTGTGTAAAAACTACAGGTTAAGAAGTGTTAAAATACAAAAATGTGAAATGAATGGTTATCTTATCAGTATCGGTCATGAGAAGCAGCTTATTATCAGTTAACGGAAAAAAAAAAAGAATGCCACATTGTATATGGTATGATTCAGACCAGTGTATAGCCTTGAGCCTGGGTATGATGTAGATGTAGGCAAAAGTGCAGTAGGTCAGATTTCTGCATTCAGGAATGGATAAGCAGAATCAAAAAGCAGGTTTCTTAACAATTTCCCACTTTTAATACAATTGGAACTGGTTCAAATTCAGAACTAATTCTCCGTACTTTGTATAAAAGTGATCAACAAATGCCATGTGTTACCATTTGATACTTCAAACAGCTTTAGCAACTTGAGGCTTTCAACACCAGGGTAAGACTTGAAATGGTTAAAAACAGGTGGAATGATCTTGAGAAAATAAATTCTTACTCTAGTTTGAAAAGTGCAATTATCTGTCCCTGTCCCCAAGAGATCTGCATTTTATGACACAGATCAAAAGGTATAAAATGAAGAAAACCTTGACGCACACATACCACACTACCAAAAAAAAGAGCACATACGCTGCTGGCTCCTGGCCAGACAAATGCACTGCGTATTTATTATTTATGGGCAGCTCTCTACTTCCAAAGGACAGCTGTGGACCTGAAACAGCTGATAAACACACAAAGCCAGCAAGCTTTTTCATCTGGGCCAGACACTGATTACAGATGCCACGAGACATGGAACTTAATCACAAGCACGCTATCATTTGATGCAATCTCTTGTCTTCAATCCAGTGCAAACACATGGTTGCGACACCTTTGCTCATCAGGTCTGTACGGGGATGGTAATTGTCATTTCGCTGGAATGAGGGCCTTGGGGGCCCTTGTCTGGGGAAAACGTCAGGTCACTGGGAACTGTGACTCTAATGCTACGACTTATATATTTATATGTCAGTAAATGGTTTTGGGTCTTTTGGACATTTTACAAGCACAACATGTCCAATCCGTATAGTTAGAAGCAAACATCCTTAAACTCACAGGTCAAGTAAATACACGCTAACAAGATAGGCACCTGCTGTAACACATGTCAATCAGTCGCTAAAACAATGACTCACACCCTTCTGGGATAAGCCTGAGTGGAGTGGTTAACAACTTTTACGACTGTGACGTGCGCTTCGAGGCATCAACTTCTCCAATCCCATCAATCAAAAGACACCAGCTGCAAGATAAAGTTACTTCAGATCAGCACAACTCGAGTTAGCTGGTTCTCATGTCGAGCCTGTTACGCAAGAAGGTGCAGCTACATGCTGGGCTGTGAGAGGTGAGAACTGCGGTACTGGCAACAGATCTGACAAGCCAATCTAATGACCAGTCACCTGCATTTAGTAAAGAAAAAACAGACATCCACGCCCGCTTCCTCGCTCCTCAGGGGCATCTGGAAGCGCAAGCTGCACCAGACATCAAACGCTGGTAATGAGAGCAATTGGGAGAAGGTGTGTCCAGGAAGTGAGGGGTGTGAAGAGGTTGTAGAGAGGGAACAGTTGTTGTGTATAAGTGGAGAGGGGATGGGGGCAGTTGAAGCTCCACGGGCCAGAGAGTTAAACTGGCGGGATGGTTTCGGCGGTTCAGCTGCCCATCGGCTAATCCCCCAGAGCATTTCAAGAGCCACTGTGTTATGTCTGGACAACGGCCACTACAGAATTAGCTGCACTCTCCCACACACCAAGAACGCTAGCCCTGGGGGGAATCGCTTTCTCGCCTCAGGAATTTCGCAAGCCCGTGGCTCAGTGTTTAACATGATAAGGATTACACAGCGTTCTTTCAATATGTCAGACAAGAAGTGACAATGTTCTTATGTGCACTGGGTGTGATTTTGATGGTGTGCCTAAGCCATGTTTTATCATACACGCAGCCAGAATTTGCATGCCTCCGACACATAATGCCTCTTCTGGTCATTTTTATCACAGTAACATGCTTTGTGCTTTTTGTAAACCAACAGAGAAGCATGTCAATTTGTATTCACTGATGTGTGTGCTACGGGGGTTGAGGGGGTGGACATCAAAGGCGGCTGCAACACAAGACGGTGGGGTCAGGCCATGGGGTCGCGGGCTTAAACCTTGCCTCGGGAAACCCGTTTAGAGGTCAGGTGTGTTTGCTTAAAGAGAGGCAGAGTTCAAGCTTTGAGTTTTGAGAGGCGGCTGTCCAAGACATTCCATCCAAGAAATTAACTATCAGGTTGTGCTAATTGCAATGTGCATTTATCACATTCCTTGGCAGCGGAATGGGATGGCGCTCCAAGTTTTCTTTTTTTTTTCTCTTTTTTTTTTGGCATGCTTTAATTGTGAATGCCAATAAATGCAATACTTGGTCATAGACACCTTGTGTCTTCTCAAGCTCAGGTTTGGGCAGAAGTAATTTAACACAAAAGGTCAAGTTGTTTGTAGAGTTTTTTTCTTTCTTTTTTTAAATGCACTACATTGTGTAATGCATTTTGCTTGCAGATCTTATCAGGTTTTTAATTTAGCCATACTGTAATTAGTGGGGAGTTTACGAAACAGAAGGAGCTTTTACATTTGTTGCTCTCCACTGTTTTAGATTCTGTGGAGACTTGATTTATCTTCTCCAGTGCATATTGTGACAAATCATATCAAATCAAGTTGTATCAAAGTTGCTTCTTAATGACACAGTAGATAAATGCACTTCTTAATCAAAATTCCTATTTTCTTTGTCCACCAATCTTTTGGATACTTTTAAGAGTGACATGACGTCCTTCATTAGAGTTGCTGGCTTACAGTGTGGCATAACTGCAGTCCTAATTAATCACATAAACAGATAATGTTCTGGCAATTTACACAAAACTACCTACATTATTTCCAAAGAAATTTTAAAATGATATAAAAAAAAAACTAAAAACATTGGTATTTTCTATATTCATGTTTTTTTGTGTCTAGCCAATGTATACATTTTGAGATATCAGCCATTGATGACAACATCTCATGATTTTGTTTGAAACAAAGAAAAACTAAATACCCCACCCCCTAAAAAACAGGTTGCACTTGTAAACTTGTGTTGCCCTTCTAATAAACAGTGCTCTTAGTTGATCCTAATAGGGGGCCCTTACAGTGTAATGACAGCTAACCAATTAATTAAATAACCACATGTAAACAAAGATGAGCAAGTAATAGAGGCTTTCCTACCTTAATCTGTGCTTTGACCGCTGATCCTGATGGTTTTCCTGCGGGGCCGTTTTGTTTCATCGGAGTCTTGTTGGGCTTCTTTGCTGAAGACTCTAGGCTCTGTGAAAGAAACACAAACCAAAATTAATAAATGTGACATCCCCTGTATGACATCACTATGTTTTTAGGAAGCATGTAGACTTTAGTCAGCTCAGTTTACCAGGCTGCTTTACCGAAGTTCTCATAGAATATGTTAAAAAGTAAAAAATGAACAAAGGTCGATGCAGACGTAATCAGGCATTGCTGCAATTTGCCACAGGGTTGTGTAGCCGTGTGTGTGGGGAGGGGGCACAGGGGTGTGAATGTGTTTATTTTTGCTTTTAGGATGTAACCGCTGTGAAAGCATCAGAAAATAATGTTTTACTTCTGATTGACTGGTTCTCTCTCTACCGGTGCTCTTTGTAGTGACCACAGCTTTCTCTCTCTCTCGCTTAAACAAATGGACATAAACCAAAGAAAAATAAACAAAACTGGCAAAGTGATATTTCAGGCTGACTGCGGAGCAGTTTGACTTGTCTGATCCCAGGACTGGCCACCACAGTGTGACGTCGGGTTGTGTTTTTCCATTTGTTTCAACTTCTACACCACAGGTTGCTGAGTTTTTTCTAGCCACCACTGTGGCCTAAACGCACGACCCACCCCCCAATGAATGGGAAGAGGGGTGCTGTCAACGCAGCAAATGATTTGGTCTGACACAATCCTAAGAAAAAAAAACTGTCTCTGCTGTCTGTTTAAAAAGATCAGAAAATATATACTAAATTGATCATGTATCAAATTTGATCACAGTAAAAACAATGAGTTGACAGCAGGGGGTGTCATACTGAAACAACAAGCAGCTGAAAATGTTATTAGGGCTTCATGAAAAAGTGTCCAAATGACAAAACTGCAAAAACTGTTACAAAGGCGGCTCAGTTTAGAATGCAGTTACCGTTTCTAACAACACATTATACTGTATCATTTCATTATATTCCTGTTGTGGTTGTTTTTGGCAATGCAAGACTTATAGGCTGTTCCTCCTGATATATTATGGTGGATATTAAAATAACTAAGCCTCTTTAGGGGCTCTGGTAGTTGTGTCATGTTGTTTTGAAAACTCCCATATCAAAGCGCTAATTGCCAAGCCTCTTTTATAGCTGACAAATTATAATTGGCATGTAACATAATGTGAACCACATTTGTAGAAGTGCTTGCAATTGTGGTTAATTTTCTTCAAAGTCTTTTGCCATGAGGTGCTCATGTTGTTTTCTCTCCGCCCTGTAAGCTGCACATGACTATTTTTAAAAGCATTTTAACCCAAGAAAACAAAAATGTACAACTGACAACAAGAAACAACAAGGAAAACAGCATAACATCATTATAAAAGCTAAAGAAGTAGTGGCAGTCCTAATGTGGAGATTTAATAAATTTTATTCCGATTAAGTAACTCAGCAAAAAGGTTTGCCCATCTACAAAAACACAACTGCAACCAAATCAGGGATGATATGGAACCAAAACTGAAATTATCTCCAAGCACCAGCACTACATGAAATTACAGAGGAAGGTCTAGACATACTTGGTAATTTGTCACTGATCAGATACTTAGTACCCCAATAACCTGTCATTGTTCCTCTCCACACTGGAGGCCTTCCCGTCAGGTTTCCATTGCTCTCAGTCACCTGTGTAATTACCTTGTAATAGCCGAGGCAAGTACCTGCATTTCCTGAGCGCCAACCCTTTCCTTGCAATCACTGGTATTCAGCTTGGAAATGGGCTAGAAGTGTAATTGCCTGTGTTGACATAACTGCTACAAGGCAATTACACATGTTATGTTCCTAGAGCGATGCCTGGTAAGACAAAATGCTGTAAGGCTGTTAAGAGTGGTTGCAATGCTTTTTTTTTTTTTTTTTAAATCAGAAGATATTAATACACAAAGGACAGAACTCAATCAAGTAGAGAAGCATTGTGCTTTGTCCAGCCCTTCATAGATACACCTGCGTGTATGTCATCGGTATTTTGAACTCAGAACAACTGAGATTTTTTAAATGAGGAGTTATAAATTCCTTGGGTTTTTCTCTCCCCTTTCTGTTATTATTATAACAGTCTTTGGCCAATGATTCAAATCACTTTGCTTAAACCACAAAGTAGAAGTGTGTGCCCATATCTTATATTTTTTAGACTAAATAGGAAGTAAGCAACATGACTTTGCAGTCTCCATGAATGCTGTACGCAAGTTTTTGCAGTCTTGTGTTGGAACAGTCGGATATGTTCAGTGCTGCAAACTCCAATTCCATGTTCCTGGATCATCAGGAAGTTCTACCTAAAAAGTGTAGCCAAGGAGCCCAATGAGCCTCTTTGATTGAAAGTGTATATATGCACACATATATACTACAACTCTGACAGTCTAAAATATAGCCTGAATTTAGCAATTTCCTGTTTAGATCAAATATATCTATAACTACATATCTGTGTCTGTACTCAATGCTACAGACACATGTTGGCTGGTGCTTAAAACAATAAAGATGTTAGATACCACAAAAAAGAAAAGAATTTAATTGACATATTGCTGAATTAGCAATCAAAGAATAATAGCAGCTCTGAGCACCAGTTTTGTGCCTTCATTATTAAAGAATGAGACCAGATAGGCATGGAGCTGGAGAGAAGAAAGGTGAAAAAAGGATTAAGGTCATGGAGTGGAGGGCTGTGGGGTATAGGAGGTGGAGGATTTGGAGAAGACAACAGAATAAATCAACAGGTGACAGAAATGCTCAGCTGTCATCTGACCCTGAGGCAAGGATCGACGCTCACGTCGCAGGTATGCGCATCTGCCCTGCTTTGATCTTTTGCCTGGCACAGTTTGCACTGGGATAGCGTGTTTGAAAAAAAAATAGAAAGAAAAAGAAATCACAAACAGACACCGACTTAAAAATGAGGCAGATACACACATGCACCCACACACTTGCAAATGATTGTGGTAACACGCAAAACAAGTGTTCAAAGGCAACGGCCAGGTGCAAAGCTGAAATGGCATGAGAGACGATAAAAAGGAGCAATCATATTAACAGTGGGATGACAGAGGGACAAAGATATGCAGTGTTACAAAAAAATGGGAGATGTTTCCCACAAATGGTGTGTGTGTGTGTGTGTGTGTGTGTACTTCCTTGCATATGTACTGTAGATATATATTGTCAATGTTTGCAGGGTGCATTTTTGCAAGTATGCATGTGTACTTGCACATATAAGTGTACATGTCTGCAATGTGTATATTTACCTTTGTGTTTGTGTGAGTGTAGGATAACACAGTGCCGTCTTGTTGGTGAGACAGTGAGAATTCAAGCAGATTACAGAGGAGAAATCCGATCATTACGCCACACAGACCCTGTGTTTTACTCGTGGAAAACAGGTGGGTACATGAGCGAACAGGATGAAAAAGTTCTATGTTGTGTCTCATACAAAAAGGTGGACGGTCAGTGAGTGCAGGAATGGGAAGGGCCTGCTGAAATGAAATGCTAGGATACGGTCTGCAGGAGTTGAAATGATGTGGTAGAAACAAAAGGGGAGTAGGCAGACTGCAGGAACACAGAGAAATTCCTGTTACGTGCAAGCCCTTGGCTACCCTGACACCTGGTGGACAACAGGGGATTGGAAACACTCCAATCAAATATGATCTACTGTACAAATCAGTGGCCAACGAGGGCATTTACTTTGGTTTGAACAGCGATGGAAGTGATGCAACAAAGGAGTTACAAAGGTGAAGGTAAGATTAAACACTATAGAGAACTTCAAGAAAACACACATCTCAAAGGACAAAAACCTAATCAATTCAGTCTATTAAACCTTTACTCAAACACAATCTAATACAATAAATGCTCTTTAAATTATAAAAAAGGTGAAGGCTGCATGTTTTGTTTAACGAAGACAGAAACTAATCTTTCAGCCTGCCTTCGTATTATTATACAATGTTTCACCTGCCTAGATGAACCATCGATAAATTGCTCCACAGAAGCTCAAGGTTGGCATGTTTCAATAAAATCTAATTTAATGTCGTAGCGGTTACACCGTGTCATGTAAGTCATAGACTGGTGATAATGCAAGTGGCTGCATGATGGAAAGCACAACGTATCCTGGCAGGTAAAAGTTGGTATGTTTGTCCACCTTTATTATTTCTCCACTGGCCTTTTCAAAGTCTTACCCTGGCAGCTACAGGGATCCAAACTAACTTTTTCACCGCCTTCCCAAAAGTCACCAGGGGGAGTGCTAACATCGCTTCATAGACATCGGGATCAGATAATCGTCTCCTTGGAAGTAAGAGAGAAAAAATCCCACACCAGTCTTACTTTCTTGAGTTCTTTTCCCACATTCTTCTGAGGCTTCACACCATTTTCATCACTGTCATCATCTTCATCATCACTGCACGAGGAAGAGAAAACACGTTAACTGAAATGATTCCTTATATTATTTGACTCAAATTTTAGGAAGATGAATGTGGTGTTATTTGAGGCACGCAGTGAAACAATTCAGAATTAAAAAAACATACTCGTCATCATCCTCATCGCTGTCATCTTCATCATCGTCAGAATCCATCTTCAGTTTTTTCTACAAAGGAAATTTATCATAGTAGTTTTACAGAAGGCCAGAACAGTCAGGACTTTAGTGGGTATTGGTATTGGATGACAAACTAACAACATACCCTGTCAATGTTGAATTATTGTGATAGCACGTTATCTCACCTCATTCACTCAATGGGACAACATGCAGTGTTTCCTCTGGATTTGTTTAGTAGGCACGCACCAAGCAAATAAGCAGCACTGCTTCAGAAACACCTTATTTATTGGGCTATCATCTCAACCTAAAATAATGTTTAAATTCTTTGGGATAACTTTCCCTCAGAGTTGAAGGCAGCTCTGTAGCTAAACTAATTCAAAGAACACAGTGAGGTAGCTACCAATGGAGGCTTCTTCCCCGACATCAGGCTGGCAGGCCGCTTCACTGGTGACGAGTTGTTCTCCTCTTCTTCATCCTCTGTATCTTTCACACCTACAAAACAAACACCGGTTACTGGAACTACACAGTGGTGAATTATGTTTTTTAGATTTACCTGGATTTTTAAACGTTACTGGGAAGAACAAGTGATATATTTATATTTGTCTGAATGAACATGAAGGAAATATTATGTATCATGGGTGGATAAAATGAGGTTCATTAACTTCTCTGTCAGGGAAGGCAGAGATAACTTGCTGTGTTTGACTGACATAGTGTGGAGTATTAAGTACTAAATTCAATGATACGATGAACCGAGGTGTATTTTGTCTGTTTATGTTTGCATTTCCAGAAGAAGAAAAGGAGACTGTTCCCTTAACACTCACTAACAAAATGCTGCCCGCTGATGTGAACTGGTCCAGAGCCAGACTGGAGACGGAAGGTAACTGGAGGGGTGATCTCAAATCCACCTAAACTCATCTGGACAAGAAAAAGATGACAATTACAATTGTTAGCCGAATGAGCATGAATGAGTCACTTTATGAAGCATAAAAGAGGCTAAAAGGCACGTCACATTTCCTATTAGTAGTTAAAAAAAAGAACAGAATTGACAAAACTCAACATTATAGATTATACATAGTATCTGACAGATATGCATGTTCTTTATTATTGAGTACAGTCACAGAGGAGCCCTTTGAATACTTGCAAAACACAAAATGCTGTTAGCAATGGCGTTCACTCACAGAGGGCAGGACCGACGGTTTTAGGACAACCAGTGGCACTTTGGTCCTTTTTCCATCATAAGTGAGGCCCTCCACTTCCACCATGTGGAACTTATCCTCCGCCTCGGCTCCCAGACACACCTGGAACAGCAGCACAGCAGCTGACTCTATACAACAACACCTCCATGTCTGTCTTCGCGGCATCACACCAACACTGCTCCTGATACCCTTTGGTATCAGCAAATACTGCTTCTAGTGATCAGTCTGAAAAATTCCTGATCGGAGCACCCTGAACTGAAAGAGGTCACTATGAGAAATCCTGATTACTACCAAAGAAGCATGTATAACCACGGTCACCTGGACATCGGAACAAAGAGTCAGGTCACGATTACCTTAGTGCTCTAAATGGGGTCTGCAGTTGTCAGGACATAGTTCCAGTAAATATGTCAAAAAGTTCATATTAATGACGTAAATGTTGACTGTTGATACTTCATGTCTTATATAGTAGTCATATCTGTGTCCTGGATCTTCGACGTCACGCGTGGGCAACCCAGATGTCTTTTCACGTCATGCCAGTTGAGCGAATCGACACAGACAGATGTTCAACAGAAGTAGGGCTAACTACACTAAGGTGTGACCCCACTGTGACCCCACTGTGACCGCATGATTCAGGCCAGACAGTTGCTCTACGTGCAATGGAAAGCGTCTTCCTTACTGCTTTGAGTGACAGCTGTTGCTCCGTATCATCGTCGTCTACGTCAACTTTGAACTCCCGTTTGTCCGATTTGAGGGTGCAACCTAGAAAAATCGATACGTGCAACGTGTAACCAACGTTATACTCGCGCTTATCTTGAACAACATACACATATACACCAGTGTTTGAGATGCAGGGCTTTTACTTTTTCTTACGTTACTCTGATACAGCTATGTGCCGCTATCTTCATGGCTTGCTCGGCTAACAGTTAGCTAACAAAAGAGCTGAATTGGCGCCAGTAGGGACAGGCAGGTTAGCCAGCTGCTTAGCTAACTTCCTCCGGCTACAAATGTTAAATGGCTATTTGTGCATGATAACGTGGTAGTAACACTGATTGTGCGACCGAAAAATATTAGGTTTGTTAGAACAAGCGAGCTCACCAAACAAGTACATTTGTGGTCTGCTCAAATCTGAGATATCGTCCTCCATCTTTGTAGTGGGTGGTTACACTTCCGTAAACTGGTGTGACGGACACATCACCGGGCCAATGGGGAGGCAGAACACGACTGACGTTTGAAAACAAATAAGCCAATAGAATTGGAGTCTGGGCGGGACAATTGAAACGTAACGTTCTAATGAATGAACACTAGATGGAGCTGTCGTAATATACATTGAGCTCAACAAGCGGGTAAATAATGTACACGAAAACCTGAAAAAATATCAACGGCTATAATAATCACAGCAAAAACGTTTCAGGTTATGCATCATCTGCATATATTACAGTTTCTATATCTGTTATCTATATAAATAGATACATATAGATACATACACCAGTAAATGATATAACACATGGTAGTTTGCTCCAATCTATATGCAAGCAGGCTCGTAACACTCATCAAGATAGACAACAAGATGGCAGTATCAAGTATGCAGTTGTTTGTATCTTCTAATGGTTTCCTCAAATAAACATTACAGTTTTAATGTTACTGTAAGATTGGGATATTCTCTGTGTGAATCGCTTAATGTGCTGTTTGGACTAAATAAAAGAGGCCTTTGGCCAGTGAAATTAAAAGTCCAGCCCAGGGGGCAGTTGCAGCCTTTGAAGAACCTGCTGTGGTTGTTAAAAATATTGATAATAAAATGGAGAGCCATTTCATTCTTAGATATTACAGAGAAGAGAAATTAACCCAGAAACTTTACAAACTGCACTCAAAATCAATCAATGGCACAGTTTTAGGGGAAAAGTTTGATAAAATTTTAAGTGTACAAACATTCCTCTTTTTGTTGTTTTGATTTAAACCATCACCATATATTATGTTTAACAATTAGTATCATAAAAGAGATGATTAATTATATATGTTGTTCAAAGACCAAGAACATCAAAGCAATCTATTGCTTTAAACTTTAACCTTTATTTCTTCTCCTCCATCCCTTTATTGTAATCACTTTATTTTTAGCGACTCTGGATTCCTTACTCTCAGTATTAGAGTAGTAAAGCTGGGTAGTAGTCACTGTTTTGCTCAAAGGAATTGCAGTCACAGGGACTTGAATTAAGTCCATTCAATAGCCAGACTTCTGATCTCCCAGTTCACCTTCGACCATTTTTTTGGGGGGGCAGAAACAATGGCTATTCACCTTGACTCCCTCACTATTTTGACTTTTTCATTCATCATGATTTAACACCATGGGGTGCACAGTCATCTAAAATGTTTGAAATGTAATTGCGAAATGTATTTCTAACCTTAATAAGTGCCTCATCGTATGTCAGTAGCTGGCCCGTATTGAGCAGGTGTTGAGTCACTGAGCCGCAGTGCCAGTGTAACCCAAAAGGAATGAGTTGTCTTCATGCATGCCTGAAAGCTTGAGAAGGATTTAATGTGTCACAGACTGCCAGGACACGTCTGCAGGTCCGCTCTCGTGACTGATATGTCGCGCCCATGAACTTACTCAACACATGTGCTTTGCCCTTACAGATTCCAGGTGTAGGGATATCAGAAGTTTTTTTAATATTTACTTATTACATTAGTAATCTCCTTACACCACAAAGCCTCTTTCAAAAGTATACATTTTCATATTCTCACAATCAAATCAAAATGAACAAGTTTGTTCCTGTTGCAATAACACTACCAAATGTTCCCCTACTGGACAAATTTAACATCAAATTGATTAAGTTCAGAATAAGACAATTAATGATTATAACATTTCCACTTACAAAACTTATTTTCTACTTAGCACTATATAAAATTTATATTTTCATATTTGTGTGTATGCTTTTTGCTACGTGTTTGTGTGTGAGCATGTGCATGCTTGCTTTTTCTCCCTGCATTGTACATCTGTTGTACTAAAAATGCAGTGTGACTGTTGGTAGGTGTATATGAATACGTGCAAATGTGAGCATGTGTACATATGTGGTACTGAGAAGGGGAGAGAGAATCATGGAAGCGTGTCACATCAGCGGGGTGAGTCAGCTCTGAAGCCTCTGTCATGCCGTCAGGCTGCAGAAAGAGTTCTTCATTCTTCGCTTGAATCAGCTGGAAGTGACTGGATGCTGCAGGGTTTTCCTGCTACAGCAGCCAACAGTCGCTTAATGATCATCAATCCAAAATATGATGACTTGCAGTACTAAAAAAAAAGCATTTTCAACCTTGTTCACCTCCACTTTTCCGTCATACAGAATCACTGTAGGTATGAACGTTATGTTAAATGTCCTGAATTTAAATTGTCTTGTGTGTGCAGCGTGGCTTAAATTGAATCTCTTTTGAGAAGTTAAGAATAATTTTTTAAGGGCATTTTTTCAGCCGCCCAGATTTATTTTTTAATCCTCTTTATTCAAAAACAAAACAGTTAATCTGTCTAGCCAAACCAGTTACTATAATTTCAAACAGAATTCAACAGAACAGTCACCACTCAGGAGGCTTATACCTTATTTGAATTAAAAGAAGCCACAGAACATGAAGAACCATATTTATTTCCTGATGAATAATACATTTGAAGACACAATAACCAAACTGAACTATATGGGGCCATTACATCTATCACCAGAGCATTGTGCTTCTGAGTCATTACTAATGTTGATTCAATGAAATGGATCAAAAATAAATGGTTCTGGGAAAATTGCTTGTGAAATACCCATGATGTAAAATCTTCTCATTTTGCAGATTGAATACAAAGCTCAAACTTTCCATCAGAGTTGAAACTAGTTCAGAGAGTGAATGTGTTTAGTTTTTCACATCTAGTGGAGCAAAACTACTCTGTGATTTTCATTTGTGCCCCAGGATTTCCACAACCCACACACGTAAAAACCTGTTTATGAATATTTCTTGCAAGAGTGCTTCATACTTGACCAAACATTAGAGGTAAACTGCACAGATCATCGCACATCATGAGGTGGCCTTATTGTCGTAGTTATTGATCCTTAGCAAACACACCACAACAATATTTGTCCTTCTACATTAGATTTCCTGTGCAATACGCAATCATTATTTTCCAAGCAACTCAAACTAACGGACCATAGCATTATTTAAAAGTCAAGAACCATAGAAGCCTGTTGTCAACAAAGCCTTGCGTGTCAACACATTAGCTAATAGTTAGAGTTTGGAAGTCTGTGGCGGCCGTTACCAAATCTTGTGGTTACAGCAGCTGTCATGATGCTGAAAATGTCTGTTAGAACTGTGGACTCATATTATTACGTCTGGTCTCAAGTAAAGAAAATACAAACAAACAAACAAAAACCACATTTTGATATCATGCTTGTGCTCATGTTAGTCATGTGTTTGTGTTGTATAATTGCGGATCTACATGTAGATAATCCCACTGAAAATTTTGGCCCTCAAGCACTAGTTAAACAAACATGTTAAATAAACTGTTCTACAGCGGATCTTTATTCTAATATGCTCTTTGCTTGGTATATGTGTCACTAAAACAGACACAATTAGAGCTGAACATTTCTGGATTACGTTATGGGAATTAAATCTTAACGCTATTTTGTGCCAAGCCCCCATGCATATATGCGTGAGCCTTTCCCTCTGGTATGACTTGCTTATCACGTATCACAACAATCTTTTCTATGGGAGTCAACGTACACAAGACTGAACCATCACATATAAACTGAATATACCATAAAACTTCAATTAGAAGCAAGGTCCCGGTTAGAGGCCTGGTCTGATGATTCTCCACAATTCAAAGAAACAATGAGCACCAAAGTATCAAATGAATGATTTGTAATTGATATGTTATTTGATATCCTAATTTAATTAAATAAACAATTTGATAGTATTCCCATCTTTGCTGAGTAAGAGTTTTGTGCAAAAGGAATTAAAGGCCTGTCCTAAGCTATTAATTGAACTTTTACAGTAGGTAAAAAACAATTGGACTGTTGGACTAAAACATGCTACAAAGTGAGCATTCAATTCAATGTTTACTGCATTTCTCAAGGATGGAAATAACTGATGGGAGCAGACAGCGCGTGACACAGAGCACAACACAGCTTGTGTGGTGAATAGTGTTTTTTTGGTGTCCCTGTTCAAAACACAGTGCTTGATAGGAAGTCTGATATACCCTGAGCCTCTTGCTCTTGTTCATCTTGTGTGGTGACATTTTATTGGATAAGGACAGGGCTGCTTGGCGGCTAGAGAGGTGTGGGGGGGGAGAGAAAAACACAGAGCCATGACAAGAGAGGAGAAAAATCTTTAAGCACCTGTAGGAAAACACAATGCACGGTTTTGAAAACAGTAAAAGAGAGGAATTTTGCTGGAATGGGCCAAGTCACGTCTTCAAGGCATCCGAGACAGAGAGATGAAAGCTCCAGGGAGCGGAGGAAATGGGGGTTGAGGAGGCGTCACCTGGAGAACTGCCTGCTACTGACAAGATCCCAACCAGGCAAGACGCTCCGAAAAACTGACAGAACGTAGGCGTTTTGTTTTAGAAAAAGCAGGGGGTTGTCGGGGGTGGCTGCAGTTGCAGACAGCTGTTTTGAACCAGATCATCAACCTGCTCTGAGCAACAGCTCGGAGGCTAAAGCAGTCAGACGGCGTTGATATCCCAACAAAAGGTACAAGATGTTTGCCATAAAGGCTTGTGATAGGTATTTGTCAGCAGCAGGTACGGCCAAGATTAACACAAGGCTGACATATGCTCACAGTCCAAAATTAAATGGAGTGATTTGCTGTCAAGGAGTTGAGCACAGCAAGGCCCATTTCCTGTGACATTCATGGCGGTGGCGGCTCATTTACGGGCAGGGAACCTGAGTGATGTGTTTACTGTGCTTCTAGATTGTCGTTTTTGTTATGACTTGCTTGTGATAAGCATTTGCATGATACGGTGGATGTGGCGATAACAAATGTTTATGGCTGTCTGTTGTCTATGTGGCCATGGTTTGCCAAGACAACAATGGAAGCCAGTGCCAAAAATGGTTTGTGAGCTAACATTCAAAAAAGATCACACTGGTGCCATTTAAGAATGTGGTCTATGTGTACTTAGTTGACATTTTCCCTGGCATTTACTCGTATTTTTAGATTTTTTTCAAACCTCATGCTTTAGCCAGCTCAAACAAAGCTCCTGTCCCAACTAAACAACATCCACCTGAGTGAAAGAAACATGGATGTGATGATAAAGTTTGTCAGGTGAAGTTCAATGATGATAAAGTTTTTTCCATTCCTCCTGTAGGTGTCAGCTGATTGACTGGAAGCAGAGCGTAACACAAATAGAGAAGTCCAATCAAAATATGGCTTCTAGTTAGCTGAGACTGAACATCTTTTGTTTTTTGTTTTTTACACTGTGCAAGAATGAAGGCTGTAAGTGACACTGTTTGGTTAAAATAAGTGTGAAATACAACTATTAGCCATACAATCTGACAGCCATCACTCATATAAGGGTGTTCAGTCAGTATGTGTCTCCCAGTCCTTCCTTTGTGCAGTAAACAGAGAAAGCATTTTCTGGTATCCTGTACCACGCAAAGAGGCGGCCCTCGGGGGCAGGCGGCAGAATTTCAGTGTGGTGCCGTAGGGGAGGAAGTTGCCTGCAGATTTTACTTACAGCAACTTTAAGTGTGCAGAGCTCTTCCTGAGGTTTCTTCCATGTTTTCCCTGTTAAAGGAAAGACTATGCTGCACAGATTGTAAAGCCCCTTGAGGCAAATTGTGATATTGTGAAATTGGGCTGTATAAATAAAACTGACTCGACTTGACCATCCATTCTAATTTGTATTTGTGTTTCCTGCTCCATGAGAATCCCTGGAATATAACAAAAACACAAACAAAAACTTGACGGCTGCATTTCAAATGTTCACTTGGCAGCTGCACAACTTGTACTTTCTCCTGCACTCTCATTCTAATTTGAGCTGGCATCAGTTTTCAAACGTTTATTTATCCAGGGAGGGTTTTGCTGAGCACGCTCGCTTGTTTTTCGGCAACGCCCTCCTTCACACTCACACCTGGGAGCTGTAGTCATCAGTTTTTATGGAGAGAAAAAAGGTATTGCGCTGTCCTTCTGATACGGTTCGACGGTATCTTACCTTTGGGTGGTTTGAAACTTTAATGTGTAATCATAGCTGACTCCCACGAGGCTAACTAGCTCGCTAAAATCATAAAGTATTATTGCATGGTTTTCATAATGGTGACAAACAACAAACAGGCCGTGAGTGAGAGGACCCAGCGAGACAAAGAGAGGGAAGAAAAACAGAGAGGTTTGTCATCTTTTTCAAAAAGTCACAATATCATTTAATATAAAACACCTTTAAATTGAACATAATGAGGAATTCGTCATCAGGAGTTCCACCAATCCACTACCACTTGAACACTGCAGTCCACCTCCACGGCAGCTGACCTCAATGGTACTTCCGAGTGCACACAGAAAAGGGTTGAAACATGCATTTACTACATTGTACAAAGTCAAAAGCGAAAAACAGGAGGTCTTTTTTTTGCCACCTTTGGCAGAGAGTCTCTGCTGCCTCGTGAGGGGATCCAGAGGCAAAAAGGGGGGGTACAGTCTTGATAGTTGGGCATGTACAGAGGTGTCCATTTGTTTCCCGGCACTTACGGATAAAGTGCCCTCTCCTCTCTTTTAGACCGTCAGCTGAAGGGAAAGCGGAAACTTGGTGTAAGGCAGGAAAATGACTCAACATACTTCAGATATTTAACAGTTGTAGGCTTGCTTAATTGTGACAAACAGCAATGTCAGTGCGGCTCCTGTGCTGTGAAGTCCGCATACAGTGTTTTGTGGGTCTTGGCAGTAACAGAGAGCTAACTCTCTACACACGCTGCTGGTAATGATATCAATGCTTGAGGAAGCACAATGTCCATTCAATTCGTTATTTTATTTTTTCCAAAGCAAGCATTATTCTCCCGTATCTATGACAATCCCATAATGGTGCCGCGTTTTTGAACGTCAGACACGTCAGCAATAGACTGAGGAGATTCCTCCCTTATGTCCACTGTGACGACACTTTGATAAGCACATCATTCCCATCTTTGTCCCTCCCTCTGTCTCTCTCTCCCTCCCTCCTTCACTTCTCCTCCTCTTCTACACACACACACATACACACACGCTCACACTACAGATGCCACAGAGGTGACGGAGGTCACCTTATTGTCATCTGCCCAGGGCTGCAGGTTCTGCAGGGCGTAGAGGGAGGAGTTGTGCAGGCAGAGCGGGTCCGGCTGCAGAGGCTGGCTCAACGTCTTCTGGAAAGCTTCCTGCTGAAGCTGCAGCATCAGGCGGTTGGCCTGCTGCCTCTCGGCCTCCCTCTCTTCCGCAGTCTGTCTCCTGGGTGGACGGTGGAGACAAAAGGGGAACAGAGGAAGATATAAGACCTATATAATGTTTCATTTTTATAGGTCATGGGGACACAAAATTGACCAATACCACAGCAGTGTTCACAATGAATTGTTCCATATTGTCATAAAGAAGCAATATAACTTTCTTTGTTGAATAGTGGTTCCCAACCTGGAGGTCGGGA